CTATTGCTGCTGTGTCAACCTGAAGTCGAATACGTGTAGAATACAATGAAAAGCAGTTACACATGCGAGAAAGAATCAAATTCCTTTGAAAAGAACTGAAAAGTTCTTGAATATTAGAATATCTGAACTTAGTTAAAAGCTTGAAGAATACTTGAAAATCTGTCAATATCTTTGCTTGTCTGCATGTTAAGATTGTTAATTAGCTAATCTCAATCAGCTTTGTGTTGCCATGGTGATGCTGCCTGTTCTGTGTGTCTCATGGCTTAGAGGTTTCATTAGAGATTTTAGGTGAGGCGCACCTCTCATGTTTATGCTTCTACAGCCCAGACCATGATTCCTATCACCAACATGGGGATATCATCAGCGAAACAAGAGCATGCTGACCAGATGTTTTTGTGTGTGTACGGTTAAAAATGTGACCACACTATCGGAAGAAGATGAATGAGTATTTAAGAGTTAAAAAATTCATGAAAAACTAGGAATTTTCCATAAGGAATGAATGGGGAAAAATCGTCTGAACATTATTATTTAGTTTAATTTTCACTAAATCCACTGCCTGGAATACCTATGTTGCTGTCACAGTGTATGTTTTGTATTTATTTGGTTATTACATTCCAACAGAGCTGTCCCATGTAAAAACAAATTATCCAACAAATTAATTTTGATTAAAGAACTCTTATTATTTTACATTCACAGAAATCATGTTGACATCTGATGCAAGGTTCTGTAAAAGTCTTAAATATTAAATAATATTTCTCTGTAGTTAAAACAAGTTTCCAAACAATGTTTATGAAATGTTCAGCTGAATTGTTTGACCATGTGATGTGTAATTATTGAAGGGGTGTGTAGGAGAAGCAGGGACTGTGCCCCCCCTGTGGATTTTGCTGTTTTTCTTGTGCTGATTAATAAATGTATTCTTTGATAATATTGTCGTATTTAGCATCTATGAACTGTTATTGACCACATTACCTGTTTGTAGTAGTTTTTCGCAGTAACAATTGCAATTGAAGGGCATGTGACATGTTTCGTAGTGGTGCATACTGGAAAATTGGGCTCTCTCAAAAGCCACTGTGTAATTTGTACACTGATTATTTATTTTGCATGATTATATTAAGTGTTGAGCTAAAATGATGTCAGAGGCTGAGACAAATATCAGACTTATTATCAAGTAAGAGTTTTTGTAGTGACAAAAAAAACAAACTCACCCTGATCCAGAACCTTCTCTGCATTGTTTGTATTCAACAATCTGTTAAGTTGTTGATCTATGGGGGAAAACAAAGTTTAGTGACAGCTAAGTTCTTTTTGAAAAATGTAAATTCTGTAAGTCACATGAAACAAGACAAGGAGGCATACAAAAATTGTCAAAAATTGTATTGAATAACCTCGGGTAAGAGGTATTCAACATAAAAAATATCTAATTCCTTTGTACCTGTTGTGTGTCCCATATGCATCATAGAGTTCATATGACCCGGACTGACAGCAATGGGAACATTAGCCTCAGCTGGAATATCCTCAAACAGCTCATTGGAGCCGGTTTCCATGCAGTTCATGTAGGGTATGGCGTGTTTGCTGTCCATGTAGTACATTATATAGAAGTTGCACATTTCATCAGTAGAGGTACCACTGCAGACAAAACAGAAAAGTACCTGGGGTTAAATACATCACTTACTATAGGCAACAAGGCAGATGATCTTTGCGTAAAGATTGAGGAGAGTTGCTATATCTGTATCATTGAGACCTTCTCCACAAACTGTCCAATAAATTATCATTCTCTGGTTACTGCCTAGCTGATCAGTACATCAGTACATACCTTGGTCACAATTCTTTAACAATCAAATTTAAGGGATGATCATCACAATATGTGCTTTTGTGTTTATGTTAAAAAAGGAATATTAGCTCTAGTTACATGGCTCTACATGTATGCAGATCTCACCTTTAGACCGTGTTTAGATAGACATCAACACTGCATAAAGAACACAGGAGCCTCACACATTTAAATTCAAAGACTTTTGCAATAATACAGTCATCTCATCCAGCAACGTACAGCAATAACCAATCAGATACGTGCAATCACACACGTGCAATCACACATTCCTGGTATATAAGCTTGTGAAGTGGAGAGTCAAAAAGCGGAATTATTATCTTTGGGTACAATACAGGAAAGCACTTTCTCAAAGATATATTATTTACTGGTAGATATAGTCGGGAGATATGTTTTTTCGGCAGTTCAACAATCGGCAATTGCTTATATATTCGCGCCTGCACTCCCCGACCCTCCCAAGTTCACCACGTGCAACAAACTCTAACAACTTAGAAAAGAGAGAAAACTTACCAAATGTCAAGAAAGGAAAGGAAAAAATATTCTGCATTAAACAGAAAATATAACCGTACACCTCCTAAATTCAATTTTCTCTCTTATACAGAACTAAGACCTTTTTAAGCAATCTTAAAACACACTTTTAACCGACAGAGATAAAATAAAACTGACAAAACCACCTTTATTAGTCTTTACACTGTTCCAACAATCACCAACTCTGCTGTCTAACAGTATTAGATGTAAAAATATTCTGTCCCAACACTTTTGCTGCCTTTTTGATGTCTTTTTGATGTCCCCCAGGAGTGTAGTTTAATTTGCTTCACTGAGACATGGCTACACCAGGACATACCTGACCACAACATCTCCATTCACGACTTCCAGACTGTTCCGGCCAACAGGGATTGCACCAAGAGTGGTAAGTGTAACTGTTGGTCAGATGGTGCAATCCCGGTCACATTACGGTCAATGAACGTGTCTGTTGAACTGTTTGCACTGTAAGGGTCATGTTTTTTTACTTCTCCAGTGCTTTCATTATCCAGCCAGCTCTGCTGGATGAGAAGCTGACCGAGATGGAGGTTGATGCTCCCCCTTGTGTCCTGGATTGTTAACTACCTGAGATTCACCAAAGAGTGGCACAGGAAGTCATTCCTGCCTGTGGCCATCAGACTCTTTAACTCCTCCCTCAGAGTGTCAAAACTCTGAGTAAA